TATTATTACAATCACTATTACTCCCTTCCTAGTGTTAGAATCACCAAATTATATATATTATTATGGTTTTAAAAGCGTCGTGTAGTGATCGAGTGTATTCGATGTCTTTTCGCCCTTCCCGATATTTCTCCTCCGTGAACACCGCGATACATCAGTCCCCAACGATACCGGATCGTCCCCACATATCGTAATATTGATGATCAACCTCGTCTGACGCTCCTTGGACGGTTCTAGACTGTGCGGCGTGTGTATCACGTGACAACTGTGCCGTGTATGTCAAGTGACATATATGTCGTGTATGTCACGCGGCATCCATGCCGTGTATACTACATGGCATATATTATGTCGTGTATATCACGTGACATATATGTCGTGTATACCACGTGGCATATATGTCGTGTATACCACGTGACACCATACCATGTATATCGTGTGATGTGAAGCTCGCATTTAAGAAATTAATTTAAAAAAAACATTGCCGTGACCCACGAGTGTATTCGATTCTAGTCGAACATTTCATGCTCCCTCTGCTCTGTATATTCGAACCTTTGTTGAAGCGATCTTTTATCTCTCTGTAATCGTTCAGTATTAATTAAGCGAGGATTGTGATCGGACTCGGTTCCTGTCAGGGCGAGTTTGCTAAAGTCGAAGATGATCGGTTCTATACTGCATGTTTGTTGACCTCTGGCCCCAAGGGGTGACTTTGTTTTGACACGGTCACTGCCTGAATCGAGTTGTGCACGAATAGTTCTTTATTTCATTATAATAATTATATAATATGTTAATTGTTATTATGATAACTTTGCTATTACAATGATATGAATTATAACTGTTTAAGAACCCATATTATTATACTCTCGTTTTGAGCGACAGAAAGTTAAGTTAGAATATGTCGAGTGTGTTTGTTCGCGCGCTTGCATGTGTGTGTTTGTGTGTGTGTGTGTGTGTGTGTGTGTGTGTGTGTGTGTGTGTGTGTGTGAGAGAGAGAGAGAGAGAGAGAGAGAGAGAGAGAGAGTGTT